AATTTATACCCCTCCGGCTGTCCGTAACCCTCCCCGGCTGTCCCGTGCCCTCCTCCTCCCCTGTCCCCTGTCCCTTCTCTATCTTTATTCCCTCACCCCCACCTAGATTTTACGGGTTCCTCTTCTCCTTGTGTTTTTTTTTCTTCTATTATTCTATTCTTGTTGCTCCTCTCTTTTCTCCCCTTCTTTCTGTTTTTTTATCCACCTTTTATCCATCACTCTTCTCCCTCCCTTCGACTTCACTTGCTATCAATTGCCTCTCACCTATTTTTATTTACATAAAAAGGCTATTTCTCTTCTTATTTTGTGTCTTCTAAATCTAATCTCTACTCCTGCTTGTTTTCTCTTGTTGTTCCTGTTTTTTATTCACCACCCTCTCTCTCCCCTCGACTTTGGCTCTACTCAACTTTCTCCCCATTCAGCGTGTTTTATAAGAAAAAAACGACTTTTCCTGACTCCCTTCTCTTCCTAGATTCAATTTATGCTTTTTCTTTTTTTCATGTATTTTTCATATTTTCCATTTTATTATTTTTTCTATGCTTTAATCATATTAAACTCTTTAATCTACTTTAATAAAAAAAAATAATTTCCCCTCTCTCTTTCCCCATCACTTTTCCCCGCTATTCTTATGCACATTCACTCCTTTACATTCTATTCTTTCTATTTCTCACTCAATTATCCTTGATGATTCATTTATTTACATCTATCTATCTTATATCTATTTTCACTAAATTCACAAAAACACCTTCACTACGCCTCACCTTCACTCTAAACACTCTTTCTACTCCTCTAAACACTTCTTTCTTGTTTTTTTCTTTTTTTTTATCCACTCACTTCCCCTCCCAGCTCATCACTCACTCTTACTTTTTTAAAAAAATTCATCTTCCCCCACCTTAAACCATTCGTTTCGTCTTTGATGGCCCTCCCCTTCTTGTCCCCCTCCGACTCTTTCCCTTTCATTCATTTTTTCCAGTGGCTCTCAAATTCAATATCTACAGTTCATCTTGATCTCTGAAATATTTCTTTTTTTTATTTCAATCTTGATTTTATTTCATAATAATGCTTAAATACACTATGGAAATCTTTCTAAACACTAATTTCTATCAATTCTTATATCAACGCCTCTGTCAACGCCTCTGTCAACGCCCTGTCAACGCCCTGTCAACGCCTCTCTCAACGCCTCTGTCAACGCTTGCAAACCCCCACTCCCCACTCAAACACCCCCCTCCATCCTCCCTCTCGCCAACCTTCGGTGCACCTCAACTCTGGGGTAAATCCGGGGTAGGCGCTGAATGCACTGATAACGACATGGCACAACAAACAGCGGCCACTCATCCGGGCAATACATGCTATTTGCACAGGGAACACGCTACTTTATGTGTAATGCACTTTCAATTGATGCTGAAGAGATCATACTCTACTCTTTCCTGCCCTATCCTCATTCATCTAGTAAATATACATGCTGCTCTTATATCCCATTCCCATTTTACATCTAAATCATGAATGAAATCATCATTACCACTAGCACCCCCCTCATCACACTCCACCCACTCATCCTCAGCCCCTCACTCGGCTTCACCTCTCCTGCATCATCCTCCTCTCCTGTCGTACACTTGGTCGGTTTACATCTTCTTGTCGAAGTGAGTGTTATTCTTGACGTGACTGTGGATGTGGTTGTGGATGTGCTGGTATGAGTCGACGTCTTTGTGACCCACGTGTCTGTCGTCTGTAGAGACTTACATTCTGCTGCTTTTGGATCTGTAACGGTTGTGGTGGTGGTGGTGGTGGTTGTAGTTGTGGTTGTTACATTTTTAGTTGTTGCTTCGTATGGTTTCACTTCCAGTGGTCTCAATCCATGGCATTTACTTTCTATCGTTTTGCATGAATCGACACACTCACACTCTTTTTTGAAATCACAATCCTTCAGTGAATGATGGCATATCTCCTTTAACTCTACATACAAACTGAACGCTTGTGATACCAAATCAAAGGCATTCAGTTCTTCTTCTGTTACTTGCAGTTTTGTATTTCTTCTTACAAGTTTAAATTGTGGTACGTCTTTTCCATTCTTAGGTGTATTAGAAGCTGCATTATCTACTGATTTATTATTCGTTGTTTTTAATGCTAAAACAAGATTCGCTTTTTCCATTGCTTCTTCTGCTTTCTTTTTAATATCCTCATATTCTTCATTTTTTTCTTCTATTTCGTTTTTAACCTTTTCGAGTTTTTCTAATAGTCCTTTGCATTTTCTTTTCACTCGTTTAACCAGTTTCTCGCAGAGTTTATTTCTAACGTTTTTGTCCTCTTCACCTTTTTTTTTGCACAAAGTTTCAAGTCCATTGGTTGCATTCGCCCATTGTGTGCAATATTGGTTAAGAGTTGTCATACAGTTGTTTTTATTATTAAGCTTTCCTTTAAGCTCAAGCATAGCTTGATCTTCACGATCTCTTTGTGTACGATATGGTTCACATTGCTTTTCAAGTTCGTCACATTCTCCGCCACCAGAAGTCGTTAGATTCTGGCAACTTGACATAAATTTGCTGCAATAAGGTGCCCAGGAACTGCAGGTTGATTCTTTTTCGTCATTCTTTTTCGCTTTATTCATAACACCACTTATTTTCATACGTGCTTTCAATGTAGTACACTTAGACCCTACACTTTCTGTAAGAATTTTGCAAGTAGTATTCTGTGCTACACATGCAAAAGAAAATTGCGCTCTTCCTCTTCTACTCCATTTATGACATTGTTCTTTTAGATTTTCTAAACATAAATCGAACTTGTCCAAATCCTTCACTTTTTCTTCCAACAACCTCTCTTCCAGTTGTCTTGCAATCTCCAGCCTATTACAATGATGTTTCAACGTATGGCAGGGCCATTTGATTTCTTCTGAATCTTGTTCTAAATCTTGACATTTCTTCAGTAATTCCTCGCAATCTTGCTTCGTAGGAAAATCTCGTTTCTCATTCAAATCTTCTTGTAATAGGTCTATCTTTACATACAAATCCATTAATACTGCGTTGGCTCCTTCTGTTGGTTTCACGCATAATACAAATAACTCATCACTCTCTCCTTTCAAATTTATGCATACTTTTACTAACTCCTTTTGAAGCGTTTCAAGCCATGTATCATTTGTATAATGGAATTTTCCTCGCATTTTGTCTTGTAGTGCTTGATTTGCTAGCGCATCAAGGCCTTTTTTATAACATGCTGCCTTAATATTCTTACACCATTTATCAAGAGGTGTTTGACCTTCAAAATAAAAACAGTCTGATTGTAATCTTATACAGTCATTTTCAGTAAGGAGACTTGGTAATTCACCCCATAATGCGATTTCTTCTTCAAATTGTTTACTTTTAAATTTTGCAGTCAGAGAGGTCTTTTTTTTTTTGAATTCTTCATCAAATTCTTTACATCTATTTTCACGTTCTGTTTTATTTCCACATAATTTTTCTATATTTTCTGCCAAATATTTAATAGAATCACATTTAGTAGTGAACACTTCCTTGCATTGAGTCTCACTAAAAGACTTCTTCCCTGACAAAAACACTAATAAATCAACAATATCTCCTTCCAGTGCTCTTCTAATCAGAACTCCTTGTGTTGCCGCTTCCTTATAAAGTTCCTCCAATCCTATTTTTTCTGCCAGCGTAGCCTCTGGTCTTGTAGGATCAAAATCTAAACCTGGCCCTTTGTAGGTAATTTTTTTTTCTTTAGAGTTATTTATGAGTTTTTCACATTCTGGTTTATTTGAACTTTTGCAGTTTTGTCCATAAAAGTGGCATTGTTTAAGCAAAGAATGTCCTTTTTTTCCTAATTCGTTATCAGTAGCTAGTACTCTTCCTATTTCTGTTTTCAGAGAAGTACACTTTTTTTCTGCTAATGTTACTAAAGATGTGCATAAAGAGTCTGTATTAAGACATCTTTGCATCAACTCGTTACTTTCTTGACCCAATGTACGACAAACGTTTTCAATCTTCTCTTTACACTTATCTTGATTTTCAAGATTACCATTAAGTGCTCTTAAAAGAACTTCTTCTGCTACTCTGTCACGCTTTTTCTTATAACATTTATTTCTTAAGTCACTACATTTTTCTTTAAGATCATCAGGGCATGCTCCCTCCAAAAATAGGCATTGTTGTTCATTTTCTTTGCAATCCTCATCTGTCAAATCCGAGGCATCTTTTTTCACCAATTTTTCAAATTTTGTTTTAAAATTTGTACATTTCCCCGTAACTCTGGTTTTCAGACCTTGACATTTTGCATTTACTTTATTTGTTTTTCCATTTTCACATAAACTTTTAAGCGTTTTATGTACTTTCTCCACGTCTAGTGATGCTTTTTCCAACTCTTCGCAATATTCTTTCAATTTTTCTTTGCATTCTGTTTCTTCTAACTTATCTTTTAAGATGAACGCTAAAAAATTATCCTCATCATCATATACACTTTGCACTGCTTGTGCCGCTTGTGCCCGCCGCTTAACCGCCCGCGCCACCGCCCGCGCCAAGCCGTGCCTGACGGGGGTGGGCTGTGTTGTGATGTGTGGTTTGAGTTTGGGTTTCCATTAGCGTATTTTGATTGAAGGTGAGATGTTAGAACCATGTCTTCAAATTCGAATATTAAATTATTCTTAATTTTAAGGGAGTTCAAGTAAATTCAGTGACAAAACTTGTCAGAGAAGTAGTGTGTGCAAAGTATATCTTTAGTGTGTCCATAGAATTATTATGATACGTGCTTAGTGCGTATTTAAATTTGTGTGGGGTAAATGTGGGGTAAATGTGGGGTAAATGCGGGGTAACCGTAAAACTTGAATAGATAAAAGGTAGAATATAAAAGGACATAAATGAGAAATAAAGGCTATTTAGACAAAGAATAGTGGCCAATTAGATAGGGAACACGCTACTTTATGTGTAATGCACTTTCAATTGATGCTGAAGAGATCATATCTACTCTTTCCTCTCCTACCCTGCCTTATCTGTTAAATATACATGCTGCTCTTATATCCCATTCCCATTTTACATTTAAATCATGAATGAAATCATCATTGCCACCAACACCCCCCTCATCACACTCCACCCACTCATCCTCAGCCCCTCACTCGGCTTCACCTCTCCTGCATCATCCCCCTCTCCTGTCGTGCACTTCGTAGGCTTACACCGCCTCGTCGAGGTGAGTGTTATTCTTGAGGTGACTGTGGACGTGGTCGTGGACGTGCTGGTATGCGTAGACGTCTTTGTGACCCATGTGTCTGTCGTTTGCAGAGACTGGCAGTCTGTTGCTTTTGGATCTGTAACGGTTGTTGTGGTGGTGGTTGTCGTTGTGGTTGTTACGTTTTTAGTTGTTATTTCGTGTGGTTTCACTTTTAGTGGCTCTAATTTCGAACACACTTCTTGTATCTTTTCGCATGGATTAGTACAATCACATTCTTTTTTGAAATCACAATCCTTCAGTGAATGATGGCATATCTCCTTCAATTCTACATACAAACTAAATGCTTGTGATACCAAATCAAATGCATTCAGTTCTTCTTCTGTTACTTGCAATTTTGTATTTCTTCTTACAAGTTTAAATTGTGGGGTGTCTTTTCCACTCTTAGGTGTATTAGAAGCTGCATTATCTACTGACTTATTCGTTATTTTTAATGTTAAAACAAGATTCGCTTTTTCCATTGCATCTTCTGCTTTCTTTTTAATACCTTCATATTCTTTATTTTTTTCTTCTATTTCGTTTTTAACCTTTTCAAGTTTTTTTAATAGTCCTTTACATTTTCTTTTCACTCGTTCAATTAATTTTTCACAAAGTGTTTCTCTAGTTTGAGCATCATTTTTCCCTTTTTCTTTGCTTTTACACAAAGTTTCAAGTCCGTTAGTTGCATTATTCAATTGTGTACAGTATCGGTTAAGAGTTGTCACACAGTTGTTTTTGTTATCAAGATTCCCCTTAAACTCTAGCATAACTGCATCCTCACGATCTCTTTGTGCACGATATGGCTTGCAGTTTTCTTTAAGTTTTTCACATCCATCATCCTTTCCAGTGCTTTCTAAATCCTTGCAGCTTGACATGTATTTGTCACAATAGGGTTCCCAAAAACCGCATGGTTGTTCCGCTGTACTTTCTTTTTTTGCTTTAGCTACAACACCTTCTGTTTTCATATGTTCATGCAACCTAGCACACTTAAACCCAACTTTTTCTGTAAGAATCTTGCAAGTAGTATTTTGTGCTACACATGCAAGAGTAAAATGAGTTCTTCCTCTTCTAGCCCAATCATTACACCACTTTTTCAAATTTTCTACACATGAACTGAATTTATCCAAGTCTTTTGTTTTTTCTTCTAACAATTTCTCCTCCAATTGCTCTGCAATTCTTAAACGGTCGCAATGCTGATTCAATGTAAAACATGGCCATTTAATTTCGTTTGAATCTTGTCCTAGTATTCTGCACTTTTTTTCTAATTCTTTACAATCTGTTTCCGTCGGATAATCTCGCTTCTCGTTTAATTGTTCCCGTAGAAAAATAGCTCTAAATCGTAAATCTGTTGAAAGTACAAGAGCAGCTTTTTTTGGCTGTACACACAACACAAATAGTTCATCGCTTTTTCCTTTTAGTTCCTTACATACTTCTACCAAGCTTTTTTGAAGGTTTTCAAACCATGTTCCATTTGATCCATGCAACTTTCCCCGTAACTTATCTTGTAATGCTTCATTTGCTACTGCTTCAAGCCCTTTTTTATAACACGCTGCTTTTAAATTACTGCAAGGTTTTTCAAGTTGTCCTTCTCCTTTCAAATAAAGGCAATCTGATTCTAAAGTTCTGCAGTCTTTGTCACTAAGGAATGTTGATAGATCGTGCCATGCAATGATTGTATTTGGGTTACTTGAAAGGAAAAGTTTAGTCTCGATCTTTGTAATAAGAATTTGAATGCTTTTTGCCTGTTTTTCTTGCAATTTATCGCACTCTTTTTCTCCGTCTGTGCTTGCTTTATCTTCTTTACATAAATTTTTTAGAATTTCATGCTCTTTAAAGTCTTTGCACTTTTTACCAAGTACTTCTTTACATTTTTCTACAATTATAGACTTAGTACCACTTTGACTTAGTAGAAATAAAAGCTCAGTAGCATCTCTTGTAGGTGGCCTTCCAATACGAACTCCCTTTTTTGCTGCCTTTTTATAAAGTTCTTCCAATTCTATTTCTTCCGCCAATGTAACTCCTGGTCTTATAGGCTCAAAATCTGAACCCGGCTTTGTATAAGTTATACCTTTTTCTTTACAATTACTTGAAAGCTTTTCGCAATTTGGTTTATCTTTAGTGCAATCGGTGTCATAAAAGTAGCACTTTTTAAGCAATGATGGGCATTTTATTTGTAATTCGTTTTTTTTAGGTAGCACTTTTTCAATTTCACTCTTGAGGGATTTGCATTTATTTTGTTTTTTAGTCATAATATTCTTGCATGTTTTTTCCTCATCAAAACATAAAATCATTAACTCATCACTTTCTTTGCTCAACAATGGGCAAAATTCCTTAAGCTTCTCTTTACATGAATTATCTTCTTTAAGACTTCCACTAAGTGCTCTTAAAAGAACTTCTTCTGCCACATTGTCCCGTTCTTTTTGATAGCACTTATTTCTCAAAGTATTGCAATCTTCTTTAAGATCTGTTGGACATGCTCTCTCCAAAAATAGGCATTCTTGTTCATTCGCACAGTCTGTATCTTTTAAATCTGCAATGTCTTTTCCAGCTGCTGTTTTAAGTTTATCTTTGAATGTGTTACATTTTGCTCCAATTTTGGTTTTTAGTTCTTTGCACTTTTTTTCTTCATTTCCATCTTTGCAAAAATCTTTTAATTCTTTATGTACTTTTTCTGATGTTAATGAAACATTTTTCAGTCCATCGCAATATTCTTTTATTTTATTTTTACATTTACTTTCATCGCTATAATCCTTTTTTGCAATCAAAGCCAAGAGACGCACTTCTTCCTCATCTTGCGTTCCCTGTGCTTGTGTCTGCCGCTTAACCGCCCGCGCCACCGCCCGCGCCAAGCTGTGCCTGACGGAGGTGGGCGCGCTGTGGTGTGGTTTGAGTTTGAGTTTCCACTAATGTGTTTTAGTTGCATGTGAGATGTTAGAGCCATGTCTTTAAATTTGAATATTAAATTATTTCTAATTAATTATAGAGTTTTCAAGTAAACTTAGTGACAAAACTTGTCAAAGAAG